ATTCTTTGAAGTATTTTACCTCAAATTTGTTTGTTCAAAGACTCCTGGTATGTCTCCATGAGAGAGGGGCCTTCCTGAAACACTCCAGACACTCCTCAGGATCATGAGTTCCCCTCAAGAGGAAGAGCTCCTGAGGACCCAACAGGCATCCTCCTCCTTTTGCTCAGTGCCTGGAACAGAACTAGGCTCTTCATTCCACTCTGGCCAAAAATAAAGATAGGCTTTCTGATGTCACTAAACTGCTGCTCTTTTTCTTGAAGGATTTGCTTTCTCTCTGATTTCAACAGTGAAGTGTTAGTCCCTTCATAGCCATCCTTTGTATTTTTTCTCTCCCTCAGAGAGCAAGGATGCAGCCCACGTCTTAGAGAGAAGGCTGTTTGAGATCAGCCTGACTCTCTGTGAGGAATAAGTTGATTTCTGTCATCAGGTACCTAGAGTGCCACAAATAAGCTCTCTTGTGGGAAACTGCTTGTTCATGTTTCTCTCTTCTAGATAAAGAGCTACCTCAATTTCTCCCCCTCCTGTTGCTTCCCTTATCAACTTGTCCTCACTTGAGGTTGGGCGCTGCATGCCTTGTTGACCTGGCTGGCATCTGCAGCAGGCATAAGCTTAATAAAGCAGCCCACGTTCTCACAGGAGCCCAGCTTCCGTGTGAGTGAGGACATGACTCAAATCCTCTCTGTGGTCATAGTATCCAAACCCTAAAAGGATATAGAAATGAGCACGGTATAAAATTTGATCCCATTGCTAAAGACCCGTGGGTGTACACAGAACATACGCAAGATGAGTGTGTAGCTGTTATCCAAAATAGCCTGGAGAAGATAAACCAACGTGGCCTATAACAGGAGCTAGAAGGAGCATCAGGAAGGATGGAAACCCCATACCCACAACGCCTGCCACCCTACAGCTTCACCATGTCTCCATCCTAATCTCACTCAGTGTTCCTTGTCTATGTGCTGACACTGACTTTCATGGCAGAACCAGCAAGCATGAGATTGACAAGGCAAGTTGTTCTCCAGCTCAACCGGCTTTTCCACATGTTTTCCCTCTCACCAAAGGATCCGTCTTCAGTCCCTATTCTTCCTGACATCCAAGTACCATCAGTTTCCACCCTTTTGTTCTCCTCTCACCCTTCTCAAGCACTCCTCTAGGGCTTCTCAAACTCCTGTCCTGGCCTTGTCTCACCATCCTCCAGCCACCTTCCCACGACCACCATCATCTTTCTGATGCAACCCGTGTCTCCAAATGTGCAGGTTTCAATGGTTTTTCATCCTCCACAAGACAACAATCTACTTTCCTTGTTTTGACATTTCATATCTCAGGTACCTGACTTCCCTGCTTCTGTGTCTATGCTTTCTCTCTAGCTGTTTCCACCATTCACCAAGCATTTTCTCTGCCGTAAATGCTCTGTGGCTCTGGCTTTTGCTTCTGATGTTCCTACCATGTGAATGGCCTCTATAAAGTGGTTTGCCCAATAGATTCCAAGCTGATGCTCCTCCAAATAGCCGGATGCAGGGAGCTTCCTCTCACGGCTTTGGAAAACCCAAGTGTACCTTGTTCTGTGCCATCCCAGGATTTGGGTATCCTCAGTGCTTATACTGAAACTGTTACAATTTTTGAACGGGACTCAGTCATGTTCTCTGGATCACAAGTTCCTTGATGACAATGGCAACTCTTTACAAGGTCTGACCTCTACTAATAGTACCTAGTAAACGTTGAATAAATAGCATTCCGTCAGTTGGCAGGGAGATCTGCCTCGTGTGTAACAGAAAAGAAGTATCTTTCTCTTTTTTATACTGCATAAGAATATGTTGTTCTAGCTTGGGACCTGTATTGCTATGTCCAACCGAAGCAAACTAGATGGAGTTAAACAGCTGTACCCCGAAGACATGCCAAATTTACACTTAACTTCTCTGCAAAACACCCTCTGTTCTTCATGTTCCTGAATTTTCCAACCATAGCCACAGCTTCCCACATAGAAATGGTGTCCAAGCTAAGAAGTTAAAACGGTTCTCAGGTTGGGTGTTGGTGGTGCATGCCTTTAATCCCAGCCCTTGGGAGGCAGAGGCAGAGGCAGGCAGATCTCTGTGAGTTTGAGACGAGCCTAGTCTCCAGAACGAGTGCCAGGATAGGCTCCAAAGCTGCACAGAGAAACCCTGTCTCGAAAAACCAAAAAAAAAAAAAAAAAAATGGTTCTCAGCATTGTATCTAACAGGATGGCATCTAGGCTTTGGTTGGAGCTCATGCAAATTTCTTAGAGAATTCAGCAACTCAGTCTTTGGAATACTTGCTTGTGGGAATGAAACTCTCAGTTCTCTTGCTTGTTTCCCTTTTAGTGGAGTTCTGTTTTCATCTCTGGCAAGGGGGCAGTGACTTGGTAGGCTATGTGCTTTTCTGTTGTTCTTTTGGGATTCATTGTTGTTGTCAGTCAGGCTCTCACTGTATAGCTGGCTTGTGTTCTTAAGGACTGAGATTTCCTCCTCTTTGCTCACCTACCCTCACTGCAGAAAGGAGAAAGAACTTCTTAGGCACATGGCACAGAGCTAAGCACTGTACAAGCAGGCTGACTGCCTTAAGGAATGTAAGGTCAAAGGAGCCTACATTTCCCAGGAATATGCCTGGAAATAACTCATCAGGAAGACCTAGCTCATCCTGTTGTAAAGTTGTATAGGGACCTGTTCCAGGAAAACTACACCCAGTGACCTGCATTTTAAATAAAGGAGCAAGGCAAGCTTGGCTGGTCCTGCCTATCCCAGAGGATTTGGGCTGTCCAAATTGCTTCTTAGAAAAGATCTACTAGCAACAAGAGTTGCCCCTCATGCTTCCTGACTCAAGACACGCTATTGTCACTTCAGCTCATAAGACACCCAGTTTGCAACTTTAAAGCTGAGGGTTTTGCTCGTCTTACCATCAGTTGATTTTGCATGACTAAGCTTTAGGGCACTTGGTTTTTTTTTTTTTTTTAAAAAAAAGGGGGGTGTCCATGGAATTGCTCCATCCTCTTTTGTGGTGAATTGTGTCCAAGTGTAACACTGGATTGTCCAGACTTGTCTGAATCATGACTGTTGTGTTTTCTGAGCAATGATTAGGTACTTTTCAAAGATATGAATGGCAAACACAAAGCCTGGTGACCGAGTGATGGCATGTAGCCCATCAGAACAGTAGAGATGTGGTTAGCATGGCTACTCATATCAACCCATGGTTACCCCTGTCTGTAGAAGTGTTAGTGTTTTTTCAACAAAAGCAAATATGTGGTGGAGAATGAACTCTGGTGGAAGAGCTCTAGGATGTTATATCAGGAAAAGTATAAGACTCCTGAAATCATGAGCCAGGGGTGGTGTGCACTGAGGAATGTGTTAGGAGTTAGCACTGTGCACCTGGAGAAGCCTTGTCTGAGTTAATAATGGTCCCAGAGGGACTCTCTTTTGTCACAGTAGACCGAAGGCCTTCCAAGCACAGAATCAAGTAGTCTGAAACAACAAAGTCTGTTCTGAATTGGATGTTCAATTCTAATTCTCAGAAATCCCACATCTGTGGTCCTCACACTACTGCAGAGTACAAAGTACCCTCAGCGAGCAGGTGATCGAATGCTATGCCTGTCTTTAAGGAGTTCACACCCGTCCATACTCCCTGAGCCTTGCTTTGGTTTCCCCGGGAGGCAAAGCCTGATGTCAGAGTTGACTGTCTTCCATTAGCCCTAGTTATCTACTCTAAACCTTGAAAAACTGGAAATTTCCATCTGTCCTTGAATACATGTGACTGGCTCATCAGTGCCTCACGATGGATCACTTTGTAACCAACAGTACAGAATCCTTTGACCAATATGAGTCATGATGTGATGATACCTCAGGAAAAGTGTAAATGACACTTACCCAGTGCCTTAGAATCTCAAAATGCTTGCAATCTCTATGTACTTAGCTCTATGCTAGTGATCTCTGCAGTCCTTGTGAGGGTTTGGTACAATATATGAAAGAACTGACACTCTGAAGACTGGGTTCTAGACGCCTCTTGACCCATTCTTACTCTGTGATCTACACTTAATGGAAAAATGTTGCCATCTACGATTCCAAAAACATTCCGAAGATCTCCTCAGCTCAAAATTTCTGACTTAAGCGACTTTGGGCAAATGATTTATTTTGGTTATAATTAGCAAAGCAATGACTAAGTTAGTAGCTTTTCCCTCCAGTGATTTTCTTAACTCTGAAACACCGAATTTGGGCTTTACTTCAGTTGTGCCTTGGAATGTCCATTACCTTGGAATGTCTAGGCAGTGTTTGGATCCTTGGTGTTGTGATATCTCTTGGGTTGGCATGCAAAGAAAGAGTCAAAGACACATTAAAATGCATCCCAAAGCTTGGGAAGGTGACTGTCAGTCCAGGGTGCCCTTTATCCCCCAGGGAGCTGGGGAGGCAGGAGAAGCATCAGGCAGGGTGTTTATGGGGTGTAGCTACTACATTATGTTTCCTGCTTCTAGAGGTGGCTGATACAGCTTATGGAGCTCCGCATTGAGTCTCAAAAAAAAAAAAAAAGTGTCTTGAGGGTATAGACTATTGTATCAGCATTCTGCATCAGTTCTTCCCAAGACAACAGTAAGATGGCCCACTCATGGCAGTGGCCCTTTACGTTGCCACTACTGCCTGGCATATTTGATTTTTAAAATTTCCTTATTTGTGTCTTTTTGGTGTGTGTGTATGAATGAGAGAGAGAGAGAGAGAGAGAGAGAGAGAGAGAGAGAGAGAGTTCCTGTTTGCTCCGATATGCTTAACCCTCAAGTTAGCAAGCCTGGTCTGAGATAGAATAAAGGATCCAGTGGGGCTGTCAGGACCAGCCCTAAGCTTTCTGATGTTATCATTTGCTGCTCAAATTAAAGTAACATTTTTTTCTTTTTTTTCCTCTGGCCATCACCCTTTGCCCCTTTGTGTGTCCCCCTCCCCATCTTTTGTCACCTCTTCTTGTCCCTTTCATTTCTCTCCCCACCTCTTGCACATCTTGCACCACAGATGTTCCAGCTTGGTTGAAAAGCCTCCGCCTGCACAAATACGCTGCCCTGTTCTCACAGATGACTTATGAGGAGATGATGGCCCTTACTGAGTGTCAACTGGAGGCTCAGGTATGTGAGTGCTTGAAGGGATCCTTCTCTGAGACAAGGTCTTAAAGTTTCACTCCAAGCAGACATTGTTTGTACTCATAATTTACCTTTCCACCCAGTAGCTTGCCTGGGTTTGGGAACTGCCTGGTGCTGCCTGGTACCCCATCTGGTACCCCATGGTGAGTAAGTCTAGTAAGTCTAGGTTCTTGCCAGTTCAGTGGAAGACAAAAATCAACAGGCACTCACAGGGCAATGAAAGGGAGAGGATATTAGGAAAAGACAGATCCAAATATACCTTAAAAGTTCTAGCTATGTGGCTAAAGAGATGGCTCAGTGGTTCTTCCAGAGCTCCCGAGTTCAATTCCCAGCAACTGCAAGGTGGCTCACAACCATCTCTAGTGGAACCTGATGCCCTCTTCTGACACCAAGTTGTACATGCAGATAGAGTGCTCAGATACATAAAGAAAATAAATCTTTAAAAAAAATTCTGGGTGCTAAGAAAGAACCTGTGGCACTGCCTAGAAGTGACATCTCATCAATGTTCCTAAGAGCTTTGCCCCTGGCTCTTTTGTCCCCTATACCTTGGGTAGGGACAGATTCCTTGTCGGTTTATCCAATCTAGTCACATATCCCCTAACTTCTAATTGGACCAGTCAGTAGAAGCACCAGACACTCCACCACACTTTTCCAAAATGACTCACACTGGTCTTAGTTGAGATTGGAGTAAATTGTTTAAAATATTTTCTTCTAACCCTCAAATAGCATGGGGCAATGCTTGAGAATGAGACATCCAGGTCTCAGAGTTTATTTCCCTTCTGAAGTCATAAAAGGGGAGAATTCCCCTTTCCTTCTTAGGCCTCTTCCCCAAGTATGAATGCCAAAGACCAGGCAACAGTGCCCCTGAAACTAAGAATGCCTCTGCCATGCCAGGCTCTAGCCAACAGATCTAATGGATGCCTTTGTTTCTCTTGTTTAAAATGCTGTTTGCATGCTTCAAATTGACCCCAGTTTCCTTTGAGCAATAATTTGAAGAAATTGGTGGTCTAAATGAGTTAATATTTCTCCTGCAGGAAGGAGGGATTGTAGCACGTGGGGTGCGGTCTGGAAGGTAGCATGCCTCCCTGCCGACCTCAGCTTTCCTGTTGCTTATTCAGTACCCTCCATTCCCCTTCGGCAGGCCCGGCTAAATACCAGTATTGAGAGTGAGACAAAGCCTGGAGTCACTGGACATTCTCAGAGAGTGAAAAGCACTAATTTCAACTTCCTAACATTTCTCCCACACTTCTTGGATCCCAGGGCTTGCTGGGAACTATTTCAAAGAGCAATTTGTGTTTAGGTCAAAGTTGAGAAAGAATCCAAGTCATCAGTTGTTCAACTAAAAAGAAAGAAAGAATTGATATAGAGGGTAGTTTGAGAGTCTGACACAAACTTTTCAAAATAATTGAATTTGTTTGATCTGAAAATTGCAGCTAAACGGAAATACGTCCCCAGTGTTTCCAGAGGAGATGCCACGTCACTCTTGTCACTCCATTGGTTAGGAGGAATTACAGAATGGTTGCACCAGAACAGAGATCCCCAGAAATTTGCCTTAGAGACCTGGTTAGAAAAAGGTCACTTTCCTGGGAGACGTGTGGTATCTATCAACAAGGTGATAATGAAACCTTCCCACTTAACTGCTGCAGCCAGTTTAAAATAAAATCTACAACTCTGCACATTTACCTCGAGTGAAGCGAATTCCACTTTTCATAATAGAAGGGAAAGGGAAGGTTGTAAATTTCACAGGAATTCCCTGGATGGTGGTGCCTGTGGGAAGGACTGGGCTTCATGGCTTCTGCAGATGTGTAGATGCAGGAAGGCATTGAGGAAACAGGAACAAATAAGGATGGGGTCTCCAGGACAACCAAGAGGGACTGAAGCAATACAACCTGAGGACAGGAGTGTCTGAACTTATATAAGGTGGTGAAGAAATCTCATGTTGGGTGGGATAATAGGCTAAGAATACCTCTCTGTCCTAAAGGTCATGGGCAAGCTTGTAGCCAGATGGAGTCATTGTATTTCCTGAGGAGAGGTTTAAGACAGTAGTATGGGGGCTTGAGAGATAGCTCAGCAATTAAGAGCACTGGCTGCTCTTCCAGAGGACCTGGGTTCAATTCTCCGTACCCACATGGCAGCTCATAACTGTCTGTAACTCCAGTTCCAGGGGATCTGACACCTTCCACATCAATGCATATAAAATAAATTTTAAAAAAATATAGTAGTATAAACAAGAGAGAAATAGGGTGGCATATTGGCCAGCCTATGAACATGTAGAAACAAAAAAGACAAAACAACACATAGCCCGTGAGAGTCTCTAAGCTGATTCTTGAAAATGAGATGTTCTATTTTTTTTTTTTTGCATTTAATTACAGAATGTTACCAAAGGTGCAAGACACAAAATTGTAATCAGTATTCAGAAGCTCAAAGAAAGACAAAACCTCTTGAAGTCTTTGGAAAGGGTAAGTGAGCATTTGGCCCAGGGGACATTGCCACCTTCTTCCTGGAAACATAGACTAAAGAAACTTAGTTTACTGTCACTTACTAGACCTTCAAGTACCGTGTGACTTCCTGGCTATTCATGCTTCCTTGGTTCCTGATGTTGTGATGAACTAATTACTCTGGGTGACTTACCAGGCCTTGCCTCCGGTAAAGTGAAACCAATGCTCTCTGTGTGTCTGTCACCTCTACCTTGTAGGCAACCATAGAGACTGGTGAGGTCTCCTATACAAGGTATAGGCTGTCACTGAGAGTAGCACAGGAAATGCTAATGTGCCTATTCCTGCTATCTACCCTGGGCGTCTGGTTTAGAGAAAGCCATCCAGGAGTGGTAAACATAAACAGGTTCTGGGAAGGGAGTTGTCTAAAGTATTGGGACAGATAGAGTTAGCTTCAGACTTGGACTTAACAGCAGGATACATATCCACGACTCAGACAGGAACCATCACAGAAACGTACAATACAGAACACAATCTGCAACTGTGACACCAAGCTGGAGTGATAAGTGAATCAGGATTCTAAGTTCCTTTGCGTGCTGTTTTTTTCTCATGGAAATAAAAGATGCCTGCAGACTAGCAAAAGTTCCTTGTTTGTGACACTACCTGCTTACTCTGGTGTTGAGTGGTTTCCAGATGCCTGGCACACCACTAGCTGCCAACACAAGCTATAGATTGTAAGTGTGAATCTCTTAGTAAACCCAGGGAGCCTTGGGGAAGGGAAGGAGTACTAAGCAAGGCAGGGCTCCAGCAAGTTCCTAAAGCAAGCGTTTTAATGGAGTAGGAATTTTTAAAAGTTACTCGCAAAGATATATGTGTGATTACTGTCATGGGTGCCATGTTAAGTTGCATTTACTACGTACCATGAGGCATATCATTTATATTTGGAGAATAGACATATAAAATGCATCAGGAAAATTTTTAAAAATCTCTGCATGGGCAGATATGTAGGAACTACTCACATGCACACCCCTGATGAAAGCATGCCTGTAAACAAAGGGAATTACACATTACATGCAAGCTTTCCACCAAAACCTGAGGTTTGGGTGTTGTGTTTAATTTTATGCCAAGTCCTCTGCCAAGCAGCTTGTCTAACAGAGTGATTACAGCTATTTTTAATCTAAGAAACTGTTCTCTTTTGGAGAACATTCAAAAAGCCAATTTACTCGTTGTCCATTGGAAACTACACAAAGTGTTTTGAATGAAGATTATATTGTAAGCCTGTTCCCTCTCATTCTGGAACATCCTTTAGGAATTCATTAATAGCTTCTGTGAATGAGGAAGCACAGCTCCCTCTTGCCTTCGCCCTTGAGCTGACAGCCATGTACTGTGTGTGTGTGTGTGTGTGTGTGTGTGTGTGTGTGTAGGGGGGGGGTCATGTTCTTTTAACTTAGCATCAGTTAAGTCAGTGCTATTCTGTGTCCTAGAATTATACCTAGAATTACATTGTCTACACAAAAATATTTCCTCCATGGGCTCCTGAAATGGAAAAGATAGACAGATGCCAAATGTACAATGACTGCAACTGAGCAAGAGGAAAGCAAGTTCATTCACTTTGCCTTCCTGGAGAAAGGAAAGCCATGCCTGTCAGATGACCATATTAAGCTAACCCAGAGTGGGCTGATATCCTGAGTGCTGGGTTGTCCCTCCAGGAGACCATCCTTGAGGACTGAGCCCCTGATGCTCTCCTTTGATCCCCAGAAAAGTTTCCTGCTGTTGTAGGAAGGGAACTGTTAGCCACCTGCTCCTGCTGGTGGCCCAGCAACTCAGCTAAGGCATTCTCACAACCCTGACTGATGACACTGTTGGAAATGTCATAACCATGCCCTTGCCTGCCTCTGGCATTCTTACCTCACATAGAACCCACATTTCTAAGGAGATAGCTGAGACCCCGCCCATAGCTAGTTCATAATCAGTGGAAGCTGCTGGCTGCATGGTTCAAGCCCTTCCATTCAGTTCCTGAATGCTTGCTAAGCAGATGTTTGGATACGCTTTGCCCATCCTTGCAGGATAACCGTGAGTGGTATGTGGTTCCTGCCCCTGAGTATCTTGGGATGTGCACTAGGACAGAAAGATGTGGTGCTGCTGAGCTCACAACTCAGAGTGATTGGTGTCATCACTGAGGACAGAGAGAGAACTTCCCTAGACACCTTGGTAGATGCTGCTGGGGACTTTTTTTTTGCCCCCCCCCCCCCGCCAGCACAGATAAAGAAGTTGGAAATGGAGAGGGAGCCCAAAAGTTGTTAGAATGTTAGAATGTTTGGGTCAAAGGAAGTGGCATTTGGGGACAGAACCATAGGATTTATTGGGGGCCTGGGGAGAAAGGGAGTTGAGTTTGCTGTAGAACCTGTGGGGACACCAAGGTGGAAATGGCAAGATGGTAGCCAGAAAGCAAATTTAGAGTCCTAGACATGGCAGGCCAGGAATGACCCATATGAGTGAACTGTGTGTAACTGGAAGTGGGTGTCCCCAAGAGTGTGTGCTGAGTGACAGGAGCTGAAGGGGTGCTATCGGAGAGGACCTTGTGGTAACACAGGCTGAGCTGTGAGCCCTGGCTGCAGGGACCAGAGAGGGAGACAGAGATTCCCGACAACAAGTTCCGTGGATGTGTCATATACTGTAAAGACTGGGCATCGCCTCTACACTGGCAATCATCTGGGCACTGCAGTCATGGTGAGAAAAGGATTCAGGAGAATGGGAGAGATCCAAAGCAGAAAGCCTGGTACCAGGAGCGTGACTGTGTGATGAGGCATAAGCACAGAATTGCGGGCTTCACGAGCTGTTGGAGACAAAGGAGAAAAAGGAAATTCAGAATGGAAGAGTTTTTTTTCATTATTAATATTTAACAAGGAAAATGTCCCTGTGTGCTTTTATACGTCGTCCCTCCTTCTCAGCACACTCCCAGATTGTGAAACAGAATCATTTTCTGAGCCTGCAACCTTGAGGTTGAGCTAAGAGCTAGGAGATGCATTCACGCATGCGCGCGCGCACACACACACACACACACACACACACACACACACACACACACACACACACATTCTGTTTATTCCTACTCAGAGAGAAAACTGCTTCTCTAGATGTCTATGCCTTTTCTTTAGACATTCCAGACCTTGGTCTTTTGAGGTTACATCTGTGACCGCTTTTAGCAACTACTGCAGAGAAATAGTAGCTCAACTTGGTAGTATTGAGTAATAAATATTTCCAGGTAATAATGCCTAATACTAGCAAGGCCCATTTGGTGGATACAGCCAAGCGAGATCTTGTGCATACCATTGCATCAATCTCCTCACAAGACAACCAGGAAAGAGGATTCTTTTGAGAAAATGGAGCTCAGAGGCGCATAACCTCCTTAGCAAGTCGCTTCATGTGAGCCCTGGAAAACCACTTCCCCTTCATCTCTTGGTACCCTTCCTTCCATCCTGTTGTCCCTCATGCTATTTGCTGGTCTTGTCCAATAATGCAAAACACACACAGAGAGAGACACACACACACACACACATGCATGCACGCATGCATGCACGCACGCACGCACGCACGCACGGGAGAGGAG